ATACACTTCAAGATTTACTTTCTCATCTTTCATTGATATACAGGATGAGATGAAAAAACTGCGACAAAGTCAACATTTTTATATATATATTTTTAAATGTTATTGAATGAAAGCAAAACAAGTTAAAAAGTATCAGTCGGTATTGCCGGCAGATATATACCCTCAGCCTTTGTTCGATTATTTAAACATAATTTGACTAGTGCTACAATTATTCAAACGTTTGACCCTCTATGGAGCAGGTTCCCAAGGAATGGGCCAATATTGTCCATTTCGTATCGGACCCAAAAATATGATATAAATATTCCGACATTTATGATATTGATTATATCGACTCACTCCTTCACTTTATATGAGATATGTAATAATATTTAGGAAGTGTTAAAATGTGCGTGGTTTACAAGATAGAGTCTACCGAAATATTCCACTTTTATACTTCATCTGATACAAATAAAAAATATTGAGCGAAATATTTGGCAAAATTACAAGAAATGGTATTTCTGTCCAATTTTATGCTAAATCATAAATACCGATAAATTTCATATTCATATCAGGCTTCTTATTGAGAGAAATATTTGAACATAGAAATTATTGCTAAATTGTTTCGAAAGTTATAACAGATATAATTATTGAAAATTGTGACTCCAGAAGGGGTTGGCAGATATATATCAACTTCAAAACAGATCTTGTGTTAGCAAAAATATTTGTGTGTGTAAAATTTAAAGAGAATTGAATATTTATTTCGCTTTATTTGAAAGTTTTGTTTTTCAAAATCTTGAACCCTATGTATGGGGGAGAAGAAATGGTTCAATCTATACCACCTTTATAACAGATCTTGTGTTATTGAGATTTGTCAAGTCTAAATGGAATCGGGTGTTATTTTGGCGTTTTATGAGCTTCATGGGTATTCAAAATTTCGACACTTTGTGGGGGAGGTACCAGAAGGAGTGGACTGATACATCCCATGTTCACACCAGATCTTGGGTTTATAAAAATATTGAAATGTGTGAAATTTGAAGACGTTCGGATCCTTACATTACATTATTTGAGAGTTATAATTATTCAAAACTAGCTGGCCCGGTCCGCGTTGCCGGCCCTTACTTTTAGTCTTTAATGCATATTTTTTTAAACATTATAGAATTATGAAAGCGGCACAATTTTTATTATAAGTAAAATAACTCCATAGTAATTTCTAAATAGAAATAAACATTCATGGGAAAAATTATAATAGATAATAATCTACCGTCGGTTTTAGATATTTTGAATAGCCTGATCTTATTTTTCAGCCTAAGGCTATAATTGAGTGTTAAAAACCTGTATGATATAGAACTTCTATAATAGCCCCATGTGAAAACTCAGCTAAATTTTTGGTATTGAATTTCCAATGTTAAGAATACCGTGCTGCGTGGTATTTAGTTTTGTCCACCTCATAATTGAGGGCGGAATGATTTCAAAATAGTCAAAGATAATTGCTTTTTTACACCCATTACCGTGAAATATTAATTAATTTATTTTTGTCATTTAAATTGTGAGTTGGAGAACCCATAAAGTCCATATTTTTCATCATAGTATAATTCAATAACGAACAAAAAAATTAATATTCGTGATTTTTTCATGTTTCTGCCACAATTTGATATTTCGGAGTTTATGGCATGTAGATGTTAATCCCACATCTACGTTCCCAACCAATATTTTCTTGGGAGTTTCAAATTCAATAGTATATCAAATTTTCTTTTCTGACCAAACATTGGTTAGGAAAGCGGATTTGTGGGTACACTAATGTGAGAACTATACTCGAATAAATGCCTATGTGGACAATTATCTGAGGGACGATTCTCTACCCCAGAGTTGCCTAAATACAATTTTTTAGCCAAATCAATTGATGAATGTGGTCAAGACCAAGATGGACTCTACTCCGAAAATTGAAAATATTATGAGAAGAGGTTTTTTACACCCTTAGAAACAAAGATGCCAAATAAAGGCCTAAAGATGAAAAAAATGTCGAAGACCCCGAACATGGCTTAAATTATATGATGGTTATACCAAAACATGATCATATTTTGCGAGAATGGTTTCTTATCAAATTAAAATGGGTGTGAGAAAAATGTGGTTAAAATGTAAACAATACTTGAAATAGGGTTGTACCCTTATCCGTGGTTCATATATCATGACCTGCAAAAGCGATTTAAGACATCTTGAAAGTTTAGGAACAATTTCTTTCTTTTTTCCTAAATGTCCAATTCGCTCTACCATTTTGCACCCTTTATATTCGGTATTTCACTGACTGCAGTTCCAATGAATTGCATTTTGAGTTCTCATTGGGCGGATTATTGCCATATGAAAGATGTAGGTCCACGTCGGTCACTCATTTTATTTTAAATATTATTCATTCAGATTTCAAGGCAATAAAAAATGTTCACTTCAATATAGTATGTCAAATTGAAAAAAATCACACCAAAAAGAAATTTGTTATTAATATTTTTATTGGATACCATTCCAAAATTGTATGAATTGTCAAGCCGTTCTTTAGTTATACCTTATGTAATTTTTTCCCCGATTTGAGAATTTTTGCAATGAGATCTCTTTTTTCAAGATTTTTAGAAATTTTGACTTAAATTTGGTGTGACCGCGTTAAATTATTTCGATAACATATATTTCGTTTCGCCACCACATAATTTGGTACTACACTTCAATGTAACCCGGCTTCTATTTCAGTTCTCAAGAAATCGAGTCAAAATAAATTGGTATTAATATTCGAATCAAAAAGAAAAAAAAAATATTAAAAAAAAACACTACAAATGTACATTCGAAAAAAGTAAGCCAAAATAGAAAAAAAAAATACAAAATAAAACATTACGATTGTACATTTCAGAAGTCAAAATGAAAATGTTAATATATCACATTTTTACGCGATTTTTTTGAATATTATCCTTTTCGGAAAAGAGACAATTCAGAATTTGTATGAATCGTTAAAATCAGATCAGCGGTTCTTGAGTTATAAGCGTAGTAACTAACACAACTTACATTTATATATATAGATGTTGACCCTTTGTGAGGGAGGTAATTGATGGAGTGGACCGATACTGTCCATTTTCGCGTCCGACCTACCACTGACGCAAATATTAGGATTTGCAAAGTTAGCGCTAAATCGGCTAATCGTTTCTCTTTCTGTGCAAAAAATATTTTTTACACATATTTTTTGAAAATTTTGACCTTTTGTGGGGGAGGTACCAAGAGAAGTGGACCGATGTATTATCTCTTAACACCAGACCTTGGGTTAATAAAATTATTGGGATGTGTGGAATTTGAAGACTATCGGACTCTTACAACACATTTTATAAGAGCTTTAATTATTCAAAATTTCGACCCTTTGTGGGGGAGGTCTCTGATAGAGTGGACCAATATTGTCCATTTTCGCACATGACCTAGCACTGATGAAAATATGAGGATTCGAAAAGTTCGAGCAAAATCGGATTAATTTAATAAATTATTTTCTTTGAAAATGTTGACAATTTGTGTGGGAGGTACCAGAAGAAGTGGGCCGATATTGCTCATCTCCAAACTCGATCTAAGTTTGACAAAAGTATTACGATGTACCAAGTTTGAATCAAATCGGATACTCCCTTCGAGAGTTATCGTGCGCACCAGCCAGCCAGACAGACAGACGGACGGACGGACGGACATCGGTAGATCGACTCCAAATGTTCTGAAACGAATTTGGTCCAAAGAGACCTAGGGTCTACGCACGTTTTGACACATTTTGACCGTATCAAATGATATATACCCTCTGTAGCCATATGGCTGAGGGTATAAAAATTCGGACATACCATGAAATTATCGAATAAGTTTAGATTTGTTCGAATTGCTCACCTTTTTCACGAATTATGGCATTCAAACAGCCAATTAAACTGTAACACGCTGCCCGAAGGTTGCTCTGCGGTATTTTGGTCCATTTCCGGCGAAGCACTTACTTGAAGTGATTGACACTTTGGTATCTTTTAGTGCAAAATACTCCAGACATAATAGTCCAACGGATTGGTATCCGGAGATTTTGGTATCCATTGTGTGCTGGAAATGAAGCGAGGAACCTCATTTTGTAACCATTCCTGGGTTGCGAGTGCTGAGTGCGATGGTGGTGAGTCCTGTTGGAATGTCCAAGGTCTGCTTCCAAAATGCTTGCGTGCCCAAGGCTTTAATACATCCTCCAGAATATATTCGCGATAATATTCGGCATTTTCATGCCACAGTTCGGCTGTTATGGCGGCCCACACCATCAACATGGCCGGCTCTTGAATTCTGGTTTCCAACCGAAAATTCACAATTTCAATGTTTTTTAATCGGATGTTTTTTAATCGGAGAAAACCAATTTTGGCAGTTCACCACTTTCGGCGAAACTCTTTAGCTCCTTTGAGTCTATTTTCTTTCTGTTGCGGTGTAAGTTCTTGCACTTTTTAGAATTTCAATGGCTTTACCCCGAGCTCATTTTTCAATATTTGCCGAATGGAATATTGCGATATGTTCAGGTCACGAGCCATTTTTTCGGCCACTGCGACGCGGGTTTCGATCAAGTCGCTTCTTTACTTTTCGAACCGTTTCTGCTGATATTGCTTTTTTCTTCCGTCCACTTCCTTGACGTCAGGCTACGCTTCCGTGATACTGGTAACGAGCAATGGTACGAGATACAAAAGATTTATTCACATTTAAATGCTGGAGTTCTCTAACGACTGTCATTTGTGGTTTTCCAGCCAAATATAAAGAAATCACGCTTGAATTCCAACACGAATAACTTTTTTTCTGGAAAATTCTCACCAAAATGCTTTTGTACGCTTGTAAACAATATAATGAGCTGTCACTGGAATAATTTTAACAGCTGTCGGACGAGTGGCTTAGAAATTACAGTAGTCTGAAGTTGGTTGCAGTTTTTTCATCTCACCCTGTATAATATAATATTTCTTTTTCAATTCTTAAAATTAAAATATAAATAATTTTCTTTTTTTTTGTAGATCCACCCGTCCTATGTGCGTCATTACAAAATTCATCGAGATTCACGTAATGACATGCAAACAGCAACGATTGGCTTACATTTCGTCATAAATGAATATCATTTCGAAAATGGTAAATTAAAGGTAAGTAAAGTTATTGAATTACAATCAAAATCAATGTTGGCACATGTCAGTCTGTGAGTGTGTTTGAATTTATTGTCGGGAAATAAATCTTTAAAATGGTATTTCATTTTTAAATTCAATTTAGATACGTTGCATAGCTGAAATTGGCGACATATACCACAAGTCATCGGAGAAAACTCTACTGGATATGGACTATCATCACAAATATTTGGCCAGTAATACGGTGAACATGATACCCACAGATCATGAACATGACTATGACCAATATGCACTGCAGGATGGTGAAATGTTACGGAAAGAGGATACATATTTTACGCAAATAACGGGTATGAAATTTTTGGAATATTTAATTTCGGTGTTTTTTGAAGAAAAGAATAAAGAGTTTTGAGATTTGGTAATTTTTCTTTTTAGTTTTCTACTCTCCACCATAGTTGGAGTTTGTCATATCGTTTGCAACATCTCGAAATATACATTTAGACCCCACTAGCTAAATATATTATCAATTATGAAATAAAATATGTCAATTTAGCCATGCCCGTCCGTCTGTGGATATCACTCTAGCTTCCGAACGAAATGGAGTAGGTTGAAAAAATTGTACTCAGATGTGTTTGCAGGACTTTTGGTATTGAAAAAGGGCCATTTTGATATAGGGCCCATTTAAATCTTTGTGTGTGTTTTCGTCATAATTCCAAACATAATTTGCTGTTAATTGGGAGTATGTGTTCCAAGTATGTAGGAAACATCCTTGCAGAGAAATGTACGTACGGTTCAAGTTTAGGCATAGACCCCATACATACATACATGGACCCTCCAAATATTCGATATTTTGAGGTCTTGTGACACAGTTTTCACCAGAGTTGTTTGAAATTTGGTATGTATAGTTCGTAATGGGTACTACCTACTATGACAGAATATTTCCTGTATGGACACACGCCTTCGTATAACCGCCATAAAACGGTAGCGCCCAATATTTGGCATTTTAATGATTTTAGCAACATTTTTCAACATAATTACCTCAAACGTAGCATTTTGAGTTTGTAATAAGCACTTGGCAGATAATAGTGTGTAGATGGCCACTGTTCAGTGTAGGCCCCACATAACTGTATCTGTCGATATTCAGTATTTTAATGATTTGTGTCACACTTTTCTTCGGAATTGTTTCAAATATAGTATTTGGAGAGCGCTTTTAGAAGCAGAAAAAAATCGAACAAACTCATATTTTCGATTATGTTCTAATAGGACTGAGCATATTTTCTCTTTCTTTTTAGTTGCATTTTTACTTTGTATAATAGCGTTGTTGTATTTCTATGTATGCGTGTTTTTTTTTCTGTACCATGATCACGACTCCCCTCACCCCTATTTCCCTCCATTGTTGTAAACATTTTAATTGTTGTCTGGACCGGCCAATTGGCCTGCTAGATAGTGTGATTTAACGCCTTTAGACAATTTTTGTTTAGATATGTTAAAGCTTATGCATTCCGCTTTAATTTTTTTTAACTTTCTGAGTTGATTTATGCATGGCAGTCCGTCCGTCCGTCCGTCCATGTAATCTTGTGAACAAAATGCAAGTCGCATTTATTATCCGATTGAGATGAAATTTTGCAAACAATATTTGTTTGGCCCAAGGAAGAACCCAATTGAAATTGGTGATAATCTGTTCAGATTTAGATAAAGCTCCCATATATCTTCCAACCGATCTCGGGTTAATTGTGTACTAAATGGCCAATATAAGTTCTATTGGCCTAAATTTTGATACATCTGACCGAATTTAGTCTAGAAGCAAGTACATCAAACTTGCAAAATCGGTTCAGATATAGCTGTAGCTCTCATATATGTTTCATCTGATTTGGGGTTTTAAGTCCCTCACATGCGTAATAGGCACTCCACAACAAAGATATTTGGCACCAAATGTCAGATACATCCCAGAAATACCTCTATCAAGATCTGTACAGATTTGGATATAGCTTCCATATATATCTTCATCCGATTTTGGGTTAATTGTGCCCCAAATGGCCAATATCAGTCAAATGACCTGAAATTTGGTACATCCGGCCGAATACAATTACACAAAATTTGGTGAAAATCGGTTCAGATATAGCTATAGCTCACATATATATGTTTCGTCCGATTTTGTGTTTGATTCCCTCACATTCGTAATATGCAATCGATAACAATGATATTTGGTACCAGTTATCAGATACAGCCCAGAAATACATCTAACAAAATTCATCAAGATCGGTTCAGAGTTGATCCCATATATATTTTCAACGAATTCGTGTTGATTGTGCACAGAATGGCCACTATCTGTCAAAAAGTTCTAAATTTTGGTAAATCCGACGAAATTCAGCTCAGAAGTAGGTACATCAAGTTTGGAAAAATCGGTTCTCACATGGCTTTAGCTAGATAGGTTTCATCCGATCTGGTGTTTAAGTCCCTCACAATCGTAATATGCACCCACAAGAATGATATTTGGTATCAGATACAGCCTTTTCGTGTTAATTGTGCACTGTATGGCCAATATCATTCCAAATGACCTAAATTTTGGCACATCCGGCCGAATTCAGTCTGGAAGCAAGTACATCAGTGGTACATCCGACCAAATTCAAGCACACCAAATTTGGTGAAAATCGGTTCAGATATAGCTTTAGGTGTTTAAGTCCCTCACTTTCGTAATATGCATTCGACAACAATGATATTTGCTACCAGGTATCTTATAGAGCTCGAAAATACCTTAGCTAAATTTTATTGAGATCTGCTCAGATTTGGATATACCTCCCATATATATCCTTAATCCCTCTGAAACCTAACTATAAATGTTCTAAAGCCTAATGTTGATAGGCGGTATGATCTGCTTCAAACATATTCTTGTGTTACAGGAGCTTTAATTAATATGCATAGTGGTGCAGGGTATTATATAGTCGGCCCCGTTCCACTTTTGGCTTTTGCTTACTGGTTTTATATGAATTTTGTGATGATTTTTGGACAATCTTGAAGTACCAGCTATAATGGACCAAAGTATCCCACTTCATCTAATACTGATAAACAAATATTTAAAGAATATCTAACTATTTAAAGAAAATCTAACTTTTTTTCAATTTTATGTGAATAACCATTTGTGGTGGGGGTACAAGAGAAGTTGACCGATAAATTCCACATTCACAGCAAATCTTTAGTTAAATTTTTTTAGAAATACCACGTTTGAAAAGTATTGCAGACTTGTTTAAAGTTAGGAGAGATATAAATATTGAAAATTGAGCGCCATTGTGGGGAAGGTACCAGAAGGAGTAGACCGATGAACAAAGTTTTTACACCAAATTTTGATTTAGTAAAAACATTGAGATGTGTGAAATCTAAAGAGAATCGGATGTTTATTTCGCATTTTATGATTGCTTTGTGATTCAAAATTTTGACAGCTTCTTGGGTGAAGTATCAAGAGGAGTAGGTCGATGTATACACACTTCTTGTGTTTGATTCTCATATGTGTTATATTCTCGTTCGCTGTTGTTGTCCTACTCAGAATTTCAATGACAGTTTTTGGAATCTGGGTCGCTGCTCGCCACTGATAGCTGGGCCGAGTTTGAAATCTCTCAAAATACTTCTCCAAAGTCATTTTCTTTATTTTCTCGGCGTTTTTCACATTTTGTGTGTTTAATTTTATTTGCGGAAACTCCTCCTAACTCAGGGTTGGGATTCCCTAACGTTGGCAAAAACCTGAATTACTGCAGTCTATTCTGGCCATCTGCCCTTGCCCTTTGTACAACAGACAACTTTACAGTTAGTTCAGTTTACGTCCACACATATGTTTTTACAATAATTATTAGTTGCAATTAAATTTTCTTAACAATTTTAAAGACCTTAGAAAAATTTCAGAAAATTTGGATCCCGTTATATATATTTCTCATGATGATGTATAAAATAGTTCGGAAAGAGTTTACGATTATCTCATAAATAACTTCTTTGGTCTCTGTTAAAGCATATCAACTTGACCGACTTTTTTTTCTTAATTACTAATAATAAACTACTTATAGACTCTCTCATGCTCCTAACTCATTATTCTTATTTTGGTTTTCTCTTTTTCTTTATTTTCAGATTTCTTCAACAACTTTATGAGCTCAAATGATGCCGAAATATCTGCATGGTCTTCGGCGAGTTCAACCAACACCTTGCAGTTGTTATCCTTCTCGACGAGTGTTGTCTTAATTAGCTTTGTGCATTTGTGTTGGTATTCACAAATCGTTGAACGAAACTTTTCATGAAAACATTAACAAGTTAAGAGGACTTATAATAATTAGAATATACACTACAAGCACAACACAAACAAAAGAACACAAGAACAACAAAAACGACAACAACAACCAGAAGAATACAATCCTTAAAGGGTAAATATTTGGATTTCAAATGACAAAAAAATTAAAGAGAAAGAACAGGAGCGGGAAATGGAAATTCAAAAGGATTAAGCGTAAAGTATATACACCTACACAAACACGTTCACAGTTACACATACCATACAACACTACAACAACAAGAAAAACAAATCCACAAAATAAACCTGATTTATTTATAAGTTTTTGTGTTTCATAGTGCCACTTTCAAGAAAATATAAAAAATAAATATACTTAAATATATTTTGTAATATTATTTAAAAAAATAAAGATGAACGAAAATAAACAAAACAAATAGTAAGCAAATCTTATTGTATTATAATTGATAATTATAAAAAATAATAATAAAACGTGTTAAAATTGTAAAAGTGTATAGAAGGTTTACCTTAAAAAAATAAAGAAATTAAATAAATTTGTGAAATGTGTGAAAATAAAAACCCAAGCATGGATTGAAAAGTCGTGGGCCTTGGAAGAATTTTAAATCAAACTGTAATAAAAATAGGCCTTAACATAACCTTCTTTTCTAGGATCTATAAATACACTGTGCTACACAAAAATAATTACAGGGAAAATCTAGCAGAAGAAGAAAGTACAGCTGAAAAGGGAAGACACGTGTTTTGGTGTTTTGAAAACATACATCTAAAAGTAACTAGTGGAGGCAAGTTCCCCCTCTTCCACATTTGTAGACATTTTTGGATTAAGATTCCTCCGAATCCGTGCATTTTAGGTATATAGACTGGAGATATAGCATCAGAATCGGAGGTACCTCCAGAAAATTATGTTTTGAATGCACGTATCTATTGATCGGTTATAGATACAGTTTCCAAATTTAGAATGCGTAACGGAAATCGGTATAAAAATAAATTGACCAAATTATATTGAAATCGGTTCAGATTTGTATATAGCTCCCACATATATTTTTGGTCGATTTCGCATATTAGATGCACCAAACACGATATATATATTCGATTTCAATAAAATTTGGAAAGACTGACGGAATTTGATCAGAAAATAATTTTGCCAAATTATAAAATCGGTTCAGATTCGGATATAGCTCCCATATATATAATTGGCCGTTCTCACATATTTAATGCAACAAACACTGTAATTTTGTCCGATTCCAATGAATTTTGGAATGAATGACCGAATTTGGTTAAAAAAAAATTTGCGAAATCAGTTAAGGTTTGATGTAGCTTCCATATGTATTTTCAGCCGATTTCGTATATTTGAAGCACCAATGATGAAATTTGGAACAAAAACGGTGTATTACTGTTATATGTGGGCTACATGATATCGTGGACGTATATAGATAATTCTCTTTCAATGACTAAAGTACTAACAAGGAACTCGTTGTGCGGATTTTCTGAAAATTCCATTGGGAATGTGGCTAAAACCATTAAAATCCCGAATGTCGGGGGATACCGTTACATGGGGTTTATACGATATTTTGGGCCTATATAGAGAATTCCTTTTCAGGGGTGAAGTGCTCACAAGGAACCCCTTGTGTAGAATTTTAGACAATTCCGTCGAAAAATGCGGCTAAAATAATCGATATACCGAATATCGGGGGTACCGTTATATGGGGGATATCGTGGACCCATATAGACAATTCTTTTTCAGGGCGTAAAGTGCCCACAAAGAACTCCTCGTGTGGATTTTCAGACTATTCTATTAGAAAATATGGCTAAAATCATCAAAATACAAAATAATGGGAGAGTTACAGTTATATAGGGGCTATACGATATCGTGGACCTATATAGATAATTCTCTGCCAAGAAATTTAATTTTAGAACTTTACGCTGATCAAGAATATATTTTCTTTGTTGGGTCTAAAATGATTATTTCGATGAGTTGCAAACGGAATGACGAACTTAATATACCCTCCATACTATGTATGGCGGAGGGTATAAAAAATGTCGTCAAATTAGCTGAACCTGACATATTCACGCGTTTGCGGACCGATCGATTTCTTTGTTTACGCGCCTGAACGAAAAACAAATAAAACAAAAACAAGTAAAACAGCAGCTAAGTTCGGCCGGGCCAAACTTTTAAAACCTTCCACCATTTTAAAGAAACTTGAAACATTTAAAAAAAATCCGTAGAAAAATTAAACTCTTTATATGGGTCTATACGAAGACGAGGCCCTTCATATGTAATTTTTTGTCATAGGCTGTAGTACCAAATTTCGAAACAATTCCGGTGAATTAGAAGTAGAACCATTATGAACTTCAAATACCAAATTTGAAACAATTCCGGTGAAAAATGTCGCTAAAATCGTCAAAATACCGAATACGGGAGTTATCGATATATGAGGGCCATACGAAAACATGTCCTTTTTAACCTTGCTGCTGGCAAAATATACATGTGTGCAACATTTGAGCCTTCTATCTCAATCCGTTCCAAATACAGCGTGATTACAACAGACAGATAGAGAGACACACGTTGTAAACTTTCAAAAAGCCGAAACACTTATCTTTTTTTAGCTCTACTTACATAATCTGCTCTAATCATTGAAAAATTTTGGATTTTGTTGCTCAGAGATATTTAAGAAATCATATACAATATTGACACTACAAGTTTTTAACTAACAAAAATGCCTTTCCTTCATCAAAACCCTAGTGCTGAAAAAAAAAAAAAAACAGGAGTAAAACGCAATGAACTTTCTCAAATAACGACCTTTTCTATAAGGAATTCTCGTTTACAATGAAGAAAACTATTTTTTAATATCAAACCACTTTTGATGTGTTTCTCCCGCTGCGAAATTTTTTTTCCAATTTTTCTCCCCAATAGAGTAATCTATCAATCTCGAAAAGTTGTTCTAATAATTAATTCTAAGCCAAATATTTCCTTTCGCTATCTTGATTTCTGACTATATAGTCATTTTGGTAAACTTCAATATTTAAAGAAGGCCCAGTACTTTTCATCCCATGCCCAACCAACGAAAACGGTTTACTGTAATGCTGCTACAAATTCAACAAGTTGAGGAACTATTATGCTCAAAATAAAGTGAAATACAAAACGAAATACCAAAAAACAAAAGCATAGAAAATAATATTCTAAGATAAATCTCTATATATATATATATATATACATGTATGTATTTATGCATTTAAGTATACATAATCTTTAATTTAAACAAAATACCAATCTATATTTAAAGTAAATATGAACATTTACTTTGTAAGAAAAACAAAAACGAAGGAAACTATAATTAAATAAAATAATAAAAAAAATATATAATTTTTTAAAATAACATGACTTTTTATTGCATTGGGAGATTAATGCAGGATCTGAATTTAAGATGGGATATGGTTTGGTATGTTAAAATTTAAAAATTGATTGTTAAATGGTTCTTTAAAACAAAAAAATTAAAAGGTTACGTTTTTTGAAGAAATAAAACATTGAGAAGTCAAAAAATCAAATGAGAGTTTTGACGACTACCCTATTTAAAAAAGTATCAAATTAAGAAAACCTTTTGTTCGCGAAGCCGGTGTCGGTCATACTTAGACAAGAAAATATCAAGCCCCGGCCGAAAGTCGGAGAAGAGTAAAGCATTTCTAAGTGTTATTCTTCTTTGGCAAAATTATGGAAAAGAGTCAGCTATATTTTGTTATGTATTTTATGGACCCGCATATTGCTAATTTTTTTAAGTAAAAATCGACATAACTCGATGTAGTGGGCTCCGTTATATATGCGGTCTGATGAGGTCAGCTGATGAGGTCAATAGTTAATAGATATAATGCTAGGTGGCTCAAGAAACGTTAATAATATTCAAATTTGTGTTGGATAACGATAGTCTGTTAAATGCATTGGGCCTGTTATAATGGGACTGACGGAGTCTTCTTAATGATAAACAGCTTGGTGATATTCGGATTGATATAGCGGCCTTTTTTACCAGGGGACAATTAATTGCTAATTCGGCTGCCATCGGCTTGATAATACACGATTTGATTAAAGCCGGCTTAAAAATACAGGGTGAGATAGAAAAATGCAACAAAGTCAAACCACATATTTTTTATTTTTTTGTTATTAATTTTATTGAATGGAAGCAAAAAATGGCGGACAAAGCATCAAATTTTAGAATAAGTTTAGATTTGTTCGAATTGGTCACCTTTGGCAAGAAATGTGACCTTCAAACAGCCAATGAAACCGTGACACGCTGCCCGAATGTTGCTCTGCTGTATTTTGGCCCATTCCCGGTGAAACGCTTGCTTGAAGTGATCGACACTTTGGTAGTTTTTAGTGCCAACATTGCTTTCCAAAATACTCCAGACACAATAGTCCAACGGATTGGTATCCGGAGATTTTTGTGGCCATTGTGCACTAAAAATAAAAGTAACCATTCTTGGGTGGCGCGTGCTGAGTGTGATGGCGCTGAGTCCTGTTGGAATGTCCAAGGTCTGCGGCTAAAATGTTTGCGTGCCCAAGGCTTTAATACACTCTCCAGAATATTTTCGCGATAATATTCGGCCTTTATTCGGTTGCCACGGTCGATTAATACGAGCTGAGAGCGACCATCGGCTGTTATGGCGCCCCACACCATGGCCGGCGCTTAAGTTCTGGTGGCCAACCGAAGGTGCACATTTTCAGTTGGTTTACAAACTGCTGGACAACGAATGATTTCTCATCGGAGAAAAGCAAATTCGGCAGTACACCACTTTCGACCAAGCGAAGCAACTCTTTAGTTCTTTTGAGTCTATTTTCATTCTGTTGCGGTGTAAGTTCTTGCACTTTTTGGAATTTCAATGGCTTTACCCCGAGCTCATTTTTTAATATTTGCCGAATGGAATATTGCGATATGTTCAGCTCACGAGCCATTTTCGGCCACTGCGACACGGGTTTCAATCAAGTAGCTTCTTTACTTTTCGAACCATATCTGCTGATGTTGCTGTTTTCTTCCGTCCACTTCCTTGACGTCGGTCTACGCTACCAGTATCACGGTAACTAGCGATGGTACAAGACATAAAATTTTGATTCACAATTAAATGCTGGAGTGCTCTATCAATAGCCGCGCGTGGTTTTCCAGCCAAAAATAAAGCCATCACACTATCACGCTTGAATTCCATTACGAATAACTTTTTTTCTGGAATATTCTCACCAAAATGCTTTTGTGCGCTTGTAAACAACATCATGAGCTGTCACTGGAATAATTGTAACAGCTGTCGGACGAGTGGCTTAGAAATGACAGCAGTCTGAAGTTGGTTACAGTTTTTTTCATCTCACCCTGTATGTGTAATATTCCTCCTAATAAGGTGAATTTCGGCACGTATGATTAAATTGAGGCTAGAAGAAAGCATGCCAAATTCGGTGAAAATCGGTTCATATACAGCTATAGCTCTCATTCATATGTTTCATCCGATTTGGAAATTAAGTCCCTCACATTCGTAATATTCACCAAGAACAATGATATTTGGTTCCAGGTATCAGACATAAGATGCCGCCCCGAAATATCGAGATCGTTTTCAACCGATTTCAAAGACAATCAAGTGGGATCTAGCTAAGTTAAGAATAGCGAAATCGACGTAATTTGTTTTATGCATTTATGAGTAGCTGCATTTATTTAACTGCTACCCAATCCTTGTTTCGAGTAAATAATAAGGTTTCTAACCCTCTAGAATTTGACAGAGAACTATATTGAGCAAATTAAAATACATAAATATATCCTGAATGACTGCCCTACAAACATACGTATACCACGATGGGAAACAATTCTTCGAAATTATCTCACCTCATGTGTAAAATATTTATGCTGTAAAATTTCTTACTTTACCTAAGGAAATTACCAAAAAACGTTAAGTAAAATATATTTTTAATAAACTTTTTACCATTGGATAATCTTTTTAAGGGACTAAATTTCGATATGAATCAACAACTGATGTCAAATAAGTGTTTTAAATATTGGTAACATGTCATGTTACAACCGATGTTTCCCCCTTTCAAAACACATGTGAATTCGTCAGAATAAAAGGCACACTACGGCTTTATTATGTAAATTCCATTTATTTTCCATCGCCATGAAGTGAAGGAAAAATCACTACCTTACTTCCGCTACTCTTGATTTATAGTAAAAAATTCTCATCAGTACATGAATTTCGTTTGCTTGTATGAGCACTTTTATCGTCAGCTGTCAATAGGTATATTGTCTTCATTTATATCTCCAACTCCAGTGAACTTATCTCTCTTTCAACATTTTCACACCAAGACAAACAGGAGATTTTTTCGGTGTATTTGTTGTGCCTTATTTCAAGATTTCATTTTGTTGTTAACCAACCTCACCCCACATGCTTATTTCTTATTTCGTTACACATCTTTTGCAGAATGCATATCAAATAAAGCGTGAAGAAGGAAGATATATACATTATGGACTTCATATCTACACATGTATGTATGTATGTATATAGGTAGCTATGCAATATATGAAACTCGGGGTATAAAAATGTCAAAGACAGTTTTACATTGTTAAGAATATTGGCGACAACAATGCGACACCATCAGTGTCATGGCAAAAAAAGAAAAAAAACATGAAAAGAAAAAGAAACCCCATATTGTGGGGGTGTAGCTTTTAACATCTTCATATGTATGTGTATCTTCCTTATATCCACACTCACTCACTCACACACACACATGAGGAAAACAAAAACCGCTCTTCACGTGTATTTCACTTTTCATTTAGTTACTACCGACAAACACCCCACACAAAAGGGAGCAAATCCGCGTACATTTAAATGACTTACAATGCGAATCGGCTTTGTAAGGTTACATGATGACGACATCTAGATGTATAACTATGTTGAGTAATATACCCGCTTACAAAACATGTTAAATCATTTTGTCAGAGTAAACTGTGGAACAAAATAATGAAATTTTGATATTTGGAAACGTAGTTTATTGGACCTGAACAAAGATTATAACTTGCATTAAATTAAAACACGAAAAATTAGCGTATTTGCTTATATTTTTCAATTGGTATCCGTGATGAAATCGGTCTGCTGAGGAAAACGATAATGAAAATATATTCTGATTCTAGAATACGAGTGGCTTGACAATAACTGAAATTATTTACTTGGCATTTTTACGCTTTACTCCTAGCCTTAATCAAGACGAATATAAGTTGTATGGGTAGACTTTTTCCTATGGGCACATGTATAACGCTGCAACGCTATTTAAGGCATCCTGTATACTTTTATAACGTAATTGTTTACAATTTGATATTTGAAGTTCTACAGACATCAACGTTTTAGTATAGGCACGTATATCGTATACTCATATTTTCCAAGAGTATAATCTGTAACTTGGTATTTTAAAGGAAAATAGATCGATAATTTAGTGAAGATCCTATTATAAGCCGCAAACAAATTCAAGTTTGAAAAAATCGTTGACTTGATCACACGTTATCCGAGTTATTATTTAACTGTATTCTATTTATGCACTATATCTTGTGTTAGTAGGACTATTGGGATTTACCAAGGTTGATACTCATTCCTGTTCTTCATGCCAGATTTTGTGTTGGTAGAATTATAGTGATATGAGAAATTTAAGACAATTTTGTATTCTATAAGATATATGTATGAGCTAGCAGAAGAAGTGAACCAATGTATCTCATCTCCACACTAGATCTGTTATTGGTAGAAAAAATAGGATGTACAGAAAAACAAGTAAAAAAGCAGTAAGTTCGGCCGGGCCGAACTTTGAATACCCTCCACCATTTGAAAGGAATTACAAAATTTTCAAAAAAATAAAATCCATTAAAAATGCAGTTAAAATCTTCAAAATACTTAATATCAAAAGGTGCCGATATATAGGGGATATACGATATTGTGGACGTATGTGGGCAAATCTATGTCTGGGGGTAAAGTACTCACAAAGAACACCTCGTGTAGAATTTCAGACATTTCCGTAGAAAAATGTGGCTAAAATCATGAAAATACCGAATATAGGGGGGTTCCGTTATATGGGGAATATACGATATCGTGGACCTATATGGACAATTCTCTTTCAGGGGCTTAAGAGCTCCCAAGAAACTCCTTATATGGA